CCCCCCCCCCCCAAATCTCTCTCTCTCATAATTTGTCCAGCGTGATCTAGTCATACGTTATACTAGACTAAAGGGGTCTGGGTGAAATACATGTATGGGATAAAAATGTCTCTCACGCCTTTAGCATTATTAGAGTTACAGGTTCTACCAGCAAGCTCCCATGTCACATCCGATCACGGGAATGACATTATACATGTAGTAAGATTTTGAACAACGCCTCCCCTGTCTATGAAGATAGGATACACTTGAACTTGAAGCTAAACGGCCTGGCGTAACAGCGTTCTCTATGTGGGGTCAAGCAGGCACTTTCCAAAGCTTAAGCGGCTAACAAAGTAACACGCGGCTGTTAAGAGCACGGCCTCGAGAGGCTTTCTCTATGTGGTTGCCCTTAAAGTTAAAGTTTAAAGTAAACTTATTTGAACGTCCACTTATTACTGCTACACCACAGACGCCAGTAATTTAAAAGAGAACCACTCTGCTGAGAGCACCGTGCGTAGCTCTCATGGTTTACGGTGTTCGCTTCTCATTCAACAGGTCGCAGATTCGAAACCTGACAGCGACGAGCAAATTTTCTTCTAAAAATGTTCTCCTTTCCTGTTCTCCAACCATGTTCTGTGGTCTGCTTTCGTCTCCACTTTCTGCCCTCACCCCTTTGTCCCCTCTTCTGGGCTCGAAACTCTTTCTGCAGCCTTTCTGCTGCTTTTGCTACTCCTTGGTTTGTACGGCTACATGTACCTTATCTTTCAGCCACACCCCTGATCTTACGGTTAAGTAGTAAGATCTAGCACCTATGCCTTCTCGGATAAGGGCGAACAATCTCAAAAGTCCCTTGTGCAAGTTGCGAACGTTAAAGATCCCTTGCTTAGTGGTCCAAAATCGATAAAGGTGATGTCACATTACAAGCGAGAGAGCGGAGCTGAACAGGAATGAAAGAAATTATATTGTTTCTTTAAATGGCCATACCAGGAGCGGTACCCGCACAGGTCTTGCCAGCATTGAGCGAGACGAAACCTCGCTAGATCTAGTTTTTTTCTCGCTTCCCGCTCAGCTTGGCTCATTTTGAGACAGAGACACCACCCTGCCCCACATTTCAGTATGTATTTGTAGATTTCATCCCCCGGCTGTCTGTATACGCTACTATTAGACATCTCCATGTGTTCACGTGAGTCTAGAAAATTACTCACCCCATCTCTTGTTTGTACTGTGTATCTGACCCACGGGTCAGTCAACACATCGGTTTTCACCTCAGTTGTTTCCGCTAGCTTACTTGCAGCTTATTTCCCGGTTGAGAAAAGCAGCTCATAGATAAAGAATGGCCACCCCCAGTTTATCACTCATCGCATGTTTCACCTCTCGCTTGTAATGTGGCCTCACCCTATGATGAGTAGGCTTCGGTCGCCACCCCAGCAACATTCAAAATGAATTCCTACCAAACAAAAATGTTGTGTCCCGCGCGCTCATAAGACAAGACCTTATGCATGTTGCGAGCGCCGCAAAACAAAATACAAAGCATGCTGAATGCAATACTGCTTACTTAAACTTATTAAACCAGTGCCACTGGTTCTCCATGACAGCTCACACGTAACATGTACAATGAACAAGATTTCTGTGTGGTGTGGCGGTTAGACGCTTCGTGTCGCACTCAGGAGACATGAGTTCGACTTTTGAGCAGGTAGAAAATTTTTATCAAGTACTTCAGTCTTTCCACTGGGGTGTTGTACAATGAAACTCTGATTCAATGAAGTCTTCTGGCCTGGCCTTCAATTTCGTTGAATCCGAGTGTTCCTTTATAACAGTTTTTACGCAGACAATGTTAGGCATCGAGCAAATAATGTACATGTATAGTGTATTTGACTTTCTCAATCAAAAGTGCAGCATTTTGATTTCAAATAAGAAGCTTTACGCTTTGTTGATATCAAAGAAATGCTGGAAAATTCCAGGAAAATACTGTATTCCACTAAGCATCGTCGTCCGCTCCTTCTGTCTCGGGAGACAATGGCTGCGCCTGTTCGTCACTCCTGTACAAAAGGGCTGATTTGTTCAACTTATACAGGTCAATGTGTCATCGATAATTATGTATTGCTAGCCGAACTAGTCATGTTGCTTGCAGAACCTTGTTTGTGGCAACGTTTGATTCCACAGTCCAGTGCGCAATTCACTTCGCAGATCTTATGTCAAGACCAGCTATCATTATCATTGTAATATTGATCAGTTGCCGGGAAAAAAAAACCAGGTGACGCGCTTGTACTAGTAACTCTTCTGAACTTCAACACCCGGACCGCTTGTGCTCCCTCCCCCAAAACCCATCAGACACACGCACACAGTCCGTGGCCTTCATGATAACCACGTACGCCACGCACAGTCACACGGGTGCTGGCTGCCCGTCTGACCCCGACATGCGCTATGACATGAGTGTCAGTGAGTGCCAATAATAACGCATGTTTTTGGTATGAAAGTAGGCTGCTGATTGGTCGCACGAGGCAGTTCACCCCGCAAGCGACTTAGTTGAATCCGATTATTTTTATGATAAAAAAACACACCACCAAAAAAACAACAAACAAACCAAAAAAAACCGCGATGGAATCCAACTCCTTTAGTTGAATCGAAGTTTTCTTAAATCGAGTTCCATTGCATACGTCTTATCTCAGGTTGGCCCCGACAGGCAGGGTCGCACCTCACCCTCCTAACCTAAATGATCTAATCGAAACCGTGTCGATGGGGGCGTAAAAACACGTACATAAAAAAATTCAGTTTACTTACTACTTGTTACCCTACTTTACATTACTGGTAACATAATTACACAGGAAGCCTCAACTTTATGAAAATTTGGAACAGGATAAAAATCCCACTTGTTCTAAACCAGTTTTAATTTTAATCTTAAGTTATCTAACTGGTTTGTACAGTGTATATTTTACCATCCATAGAGTAAACGATACATGTAATATCTTACCATCCATGTACAAGTACTTCGTTCAATCACTATTGGTTTGGTACCTTTTTGTGTTCCTTTTGCAATTATGAATGTGGTACAGTATAGTACTTAGGACAGAGAGAGAGAGAGAGAGAGAGAGAGAGAGAGAGAGAGAGA